TAAACCGCCACACTTGGCAAAAGCACAGCCTACACAAGATGGCTCAGAACCCTGTGCAGCCAAATCCCACGTGACCAATGCTGTGGAATCCACCATCTCCCCTTTGAGATTATTCCAGTGCCTGATTATTCTCATTGTGAAAAATTTTCCTCTTGTGTCTAATCACAAGCTCCTTAGGAGTAAGTTTTATTCATTACCCCTCAACTTTCCATGTGACTCTTTGTAAAAACAGAGTCTCCATCTACATTGTAGCCATCTTTTAAATGGCTACATGGTTGTAAGTCTCCCCCAAGCCTTCTTTTCTCAAGGCCAAAAAAGCCCAGTTCTCTCAGCATTTCCCAGTCTTTTGAACATCTCTGTGGCCTTAAGTTACTGAGTTACATTATTCTTGCAAAGGTAACAATCCAAAACCTGAATTTCCTTCCGTTTTGTTTGTGTGCAAGACTCAACAGTGGTGCCACAGAGGAGGCTTCAAATCACACCGATAATAAAACAGCAGTTACCAAATGACAGACTGTGAATTATCCTGAGCCAAAGCTCTTGAGTGCTGGCATTCATTCTGGCTCACAGGCCAAAGCAGTACACACAAACAGCCAGTTAACTTGCTTGTCAGTCTCCATCTTTAGATCTTAACTTCTCATCTTTACAGAAACCATTTCTACAAAGAGATGGTAACTAGTGATGTCATTTTAAGCAGAGTTAATGGAACAATTCACGTATTTGGCATGCAAAACAGAATGCAATGATTTTGTAAACATGGTCCTCGGTAACATTATTTCAGAAACCTTTTTTTCAGCTGACCCTCTATTTGGTACACTTAAAGAATCTCATGGAATAAGCAAAACTTCAAGACTGCTCCAATTAAAACATACCATAAGCTCTTTTAAACAGCACATCAGCTGCTACACTACGCAGAGTTAGATTTAGCTTCACCCTGGATAAATGAGTCAAGTAGACATAACTGTAAAACCCTGAAGGAAACTAATGCCTAAAAAGTCTAAGGCAATTTTACCTTGTGTAAAATGAGTACACAAGGGAAACAAATGCATAGACAAAAATTATTTCACAAACCAGAAGTATCTGGCAGACACCTTAGTTCGCCCCCTTCTCTTTTGGCTTTTATCACAGGCAGGGCACAGCTAGACACAGCTGGCTTGGATGCCATGAACCTTCTAGAAATGCCTTCTGTGTCCTTAAACCTGCACAGAACTTCCCTAATTTTCCTTTCTTCCTCTGGGAATGAAAGCAGACTGCTACAAGCTAAAACGAGGACAGAGCAGTAAAAAGAACTGGCACCAAGAGCTGCATCACTTCGGGAGAGATCTCTGAACACAAATTTAGAGAAACAAAACTCTGTAAAGTTATGCACTCAGACAAAAAAAGTAATACACGGAAAAAGCCAACATTTGACCATAACTACAACTGCTCTGTCAAGTCAACACTGAGCTTGCCTCAGCATAATGCCTATATTCAGGATCATTTGAAATATCTGACATCATCTCAAATGAACGAAGAGCAAAAAATCTTCCTCCCATTAGCACTTGAACAAACTTCATATCATTACTCTTCTTTCAGTTTATGCCACCCAATTCAATACTTTCTATGTGAGGCTAAACAAGACAACTCGTTAAGCCTAGTACACAGACTGGTTTAACTTCACCCAGTCACTACCACTGAGACTAAAAGAGTTGTCAATTTTTACTTCAATTTCCTCGTAAGAAATCCTCCATTTTCTTTCAGTTCCACAGTTTAACCAGTCTTACTGTGATAAAAAAAAATTGTGCCTATAAAATAAACCCCTTTAATTAATTCTCTCCTATGCCAACATCAATTTTATCAATATCACTTTAAGCCTTTGTAGAACACTGAACTTTGCAGCAACATTTTTCACTATATTTATCTACCATCAAAAACAACACTGCTGATCCGTATTTCAAGTCTCCAGATGCAGCCTGGATTCTCCTTCTTAAATGTGTAATGATGCATTTGGCTTTATAAAGAAAAGGGCATCAGAGTGACAGAGAACACAACTGGCATTTGTAAGTGGCTATGTTAAAAAAACATCTAAGACATATATATACAGTTTCTGTGTCATTATTTCTGCCACCCCCATTCCACAAGTTTTGTCTGTAAGGATGTTACAGCTACTCCCAGATTACTGATCTTAATGGAGTATAAAATCTAATAGTGTTTTAGCAGAACTCCAGCAGACAATAAACCAGCTGCCTCTCAGATCTGCAGGTGAGCCAGTCTTGAGACAGTTGAAGTCAACCTTAAATGTGTATCTACACAACTAGACTACCAAATTTGTAATCTCAATGACTGAGAACAAGTTTGACAGCACCTATTGTCTAAGAAAGACATGTTGACTGAAATGTAATTATGCTTTTCCCTTGCGAACAGAAATCCGTGTCAGTGTCCAATTTTGCCTGTGACTGACATCAGACAACCTAGCTTACAGCTACCCAGGTTATACATTTTTTGAATATTGGCATGAAACATGAACATTATTTCCATATTCTGGAATCTTCCTGATAGACCAGGGTGTTTTTTCATTTGGTTTTAAGATGAACAGATGAGCTTTCTTCCGTACAGGGACTGTAGAACAAGTCCTGTTTCAAAATGTTTATTCCTAATAAATTTGGGTTTTAAACATCCTCTTTTGTTATTAATGGACTGAAAAGCAATTCATGCAACATTATCACATACTTTTCCCCCTTTCAGGATTCAGGAAGTTTTTATTGAATACTTATTTCTGCACCATTAACAACAATTTTATCTTCATCCAGTAACAGGCCTATACAATTAAGATTCCTTTAGTTTCCAAATGTATTTAAGCTTCTTTTAATTTTTTTGGGCATGACAACACAGATCTTTTACTCTGTTCATGTTGTTTTCAAGAATCCAAAAGAACTACACAGCATTTCTGCCTAGCATAAATAAATTTCCAGCTACTAAGCCTCCTGAACCCAAAGCATACAGTGGTAATGGTACCTAGACCACACTTCCCAGTCCCTCAGAGTACAGTAGGTCCCATCACTTCAGATTCAACAGTGACACATCTGCAGACTTCTATGAGGCTCAGCAGAGGTCCCAAAATGTCATTAATCAAAATGGTTAAAACACTTCAAAGCTTCTCTATGGAAGCTAAATCAGACTTCAATTTCATGCTAACCACCTAAATTCAGAGTAGCCTGAGGCAGAGCCAACTCCAGTGGCCCTGGACAGTACCATCGACTGAAATGTGGACTGCGGAACTGCAGACTCCAGAGCAGAGGATGGTATCTTATCAGTGCAAGTTTTAAGTGATTCAGTGATACAACATGGTCAATATATTTATGCATAATTTTATATACACACACACACATATATATACACACATATATACACATATATATATATATATATGAGCATGTACTATGTGCAGGATTTTATTTAACATTTGTTTATAATACATTGTGTCCTGCAGATTAACTCAGAGGAAATCAAAGAACCTGTTCACACAAAACAACAGAGTAAGTCTGTAGCACGGGCAGGTACTAGCCCTTCAGTGTGGAGCCATGCTGCAACTGTTGCAACAGGTTATTTAGAGTAATACACAGCAAGTGATGTAGCAAGGACATAATTTATAAATCAGAAGGACAAGTATTTGTGCCTCATGAAAGGTTAAAGACCAGCCTGATTCAGCATCCTGGTAAGAAAACAAAATCTGCTGAAACAGCTGGTCAGCAGTGTTCCTTTCTATTGCCACCAATTCATCCACCCATTTGCAACAGCTGTTTCATTAATTCACACATTTACTTGCCTGACTAGTCTGAACTACAAAGTCAAGCTAAAACCAAGCAGGTAGACTTCAAAAACCACAACTGTTGAACAGTTTCCCTACCTGTACTTTAACTCACAGCAATAATCCAAAGGACAAATTTATAGGCCAGAGTATTTGCTTTTACAGGGACCACCATTGCCTTGTTTTTTCAAGGGAGGAGATGATCTGCCAGAAGATACTTTAATCAAATGTCTTAAGAGGCAACACATCTTTATATCTGACAAACCTACTCAAGAAGCCCGGATATCTCTAGCATCACAAGTTATTTGTACCACTTTCCTCCCTTGGCATAGTTAAAACTGTGTATGGTTAGATGAAAGACACTGAATTGTACCACATCCTTTGAAAAGAGAATGAGTTGGAAAAAGATTTTTGCTAGCTGCCTTTCTTTCCCTACTTAAAACAAACTTTATGTTGACAAAGTCCAGCAAACTTTCACAATGCAAACTTTTCATATGGGTTTTTTACCTCTTCTCCATCTCAGTCTACTAATTAAGATACTCAAAAGAGCTTCAAAGCAACAGAGTAGGACTAAAAAAAATACCCCAGTTCATTTCAAGTAAAGTATTTAAGATGGCCAGAAAATTCTCATTTCCTGATGTAGCTTAGCTTAAATGCTTTTATACAATCCTCTTTTGCAAGGCACCAAGTCCATTTCTGAGACATAACTCCCTGAATTTGTGGTACATAAAGTCTACAGCCTAATACTCAAAGCTATTATTAAAAAAAACAAACAAACAAACAAACAAAAAAACCCCCTAAGCATGCTTATTAAAACTTATACTGATAGCTAAGTAGCAGAACCAAAGGGTTATTCTTCAGGTAAGTTGTACAATATACATCCAGAAGTGCAGAGAACTACCTTTTCAGTAAAAGCCAAAGATGCTATCAGGTACCCAGAAGTTTTGAGTTCACATCAGCACAAACCTTGGGATCACACTACAGGTTTCTGAAGTACATGAGTTAAGGGGAATTTTCATTTTAGAGAGGGCTGGCATAGCATATGTATATTACAGACATGTACAATGTCAAAGGACCCAGAGTGTATGGCAGGGGAAAATATCTCAGGTCATTTAAATGATAAACTACAAAAGGAAACTAAAAATCTCAGTCTACGCAAGACACTTAAAAGAGTTATTGTATAGAACAATGGATAAAAATGGGAAGAAAGTACCTCTTGTCCAGTAAGAAAGAGTAACAGATCTCCCTCTTCTTCTTCACACATGTGAATTTGGATCACTGTTCGAATGGCAGCCTCAAGGTAGTCCCTTTCTGGTTCTGGAGTATAGAATATCTCCACGGGATGGGTGCGACCCGGGATAGTTAGAAGAGGACAGTTATCAAAATAGATCTGAAACTTGCCAGCATCTAAAGTAGCACTCATAACTATAACCTGTAGGTTTGGAGGACAAAAAAAAAAAAAGTTATTCAAGAGGTTAACAAGAATTTGTGAAATGTCACATGTGCAATATGTAATTGTAAGAAAGTAATCAACTGTTAAGCATGTTTTTATCACCTGAATACAGCACCCTTGTTACAAAGGTCCAAAAAAATTCTTAGTCCAATCCATAAGGTTAAGCTACAATTACATTGTTCGTAGTAACTTCAATACAAACCACATTATGAATTTCCTAAGGTTATCCTTCCAATGTAGATTATCATAGATCAAAAAACAATTATAAAAATCAGCTAATGGTAAGCACACAGATACTTTATTTAATACGCCTGAAACCAGAAAGTATATGCTTTTGGACTTCATCATTACTGACCTTCAAATCAGATCTTTGTCTTACAACTTCCTTCAGAACTCCCATCAAGATATCCGTAGCCAGTGTTCTCTCATGGGCCTCATCAAGAATTATAACACCATAGCGCTCCAGCAAAGGATCATTCATTGCTTCACGAAGTAACATACCATCAGTCATATATCTGAACACAAAGGGAAACAATTTCAACATGCTTTTTGTTTAGTAAGGTTGATACAGAATCCTTACAAATTAAAAGCAGAAACATCAGTAAACTATTTCCAACAAGGTAACAAGGCCATTTTAAGATTTCAAACAGAAATTACTTTAGAGTATAAGTGAAATCTGGGATTAAGGGGGGAAAACTTGAAAAAAAGAGGGGGAAACAAACTTCAGGAACATTTATAACTAGTTTGTAGACTATTACTGGCAGACTTCCACACCTACAATCAGAGACAGGAAAAGGAGGAAAACATCCTCTGAAATCCTAGAAATACTGTTTCTGCAAGAGTTGCTACTCTTTTCTGTTTGCAGATCATCCATTCACTTTTTGCTTTTCTGTCTCGGTTTAATTTCTTTTTACACATTAACTTTATTCTCTACCCTTCAACTACCTGTATAACAAAAGTGAATACCTCTTTTATAGAAAAAGCATTAATCCTTGAACTACACTATGTGGTGCTTTTAAGTGAGCATTTTGAATGTAAACTGCAAATGACATATTAAGTGCACCTGGTTCCAGCGACACAGCACAGGAATCTAGAGCAGCTGATAACTAAAATGCTATGGATTATGTGTCCCACAGCCAGTTTTGACACTCTGGATAGTTCTCCTTACTGAAATAAACTACTGAACTTCACCAGAAGTACCCTGAGTAGAAGATACGACAGACAAACAACTGAATGTATAATAACAAAGAGAAACTGCATGCTGAAGGGCTTTATTCTGAATAGCACCTTAATTATAAAATACTTCTTCAGATCACCTTCTTCTTTATGGATCATTCAAAATTAATTTCCATAGAGTGCAGTGATTTCTTTATAAGGAATTAATAATTTCCAACTCTACTCAAGCCTCACACCTCAGGTTTCTCTCAGCTCATGCTATGGGTTCCAGTCTCTCTTCCCCACTCACACAGAAAGTACCTTTTCATAGACTCACTCCCTTATTACTCCTTTCATACCTTTGCTCACACCTTTCACTACCCTGCAATTCTCTCACCTCCGAGTACAATGTTACAGCTTTACCTGAGAGTTGCCATACTTACTTCAAAATGGTTTTTGCGCTACTGCAATCTTCAAATCGAATGGAGTAACCGACCTCCTGCCCCAGCATGACATCCATCTCATCAGCAACCCGCTGGGCCACGCTCATCGCGGCCACTCGCCTGGGCTGGGTACAGGCCACTCCCCTCTTCGGGCCAGGCAACGAGCGCATGTAGTCGACACACCACTGGGGGATCTGTCAAGGACAACATTCAGTCATAAACACACTTCAAGTGGTCAGATATAATCTACAACCTTTGTACAGGATCAAGAGTTGGTTAGAATTCCATGGAGATGCCAACTGCGTGCACAAAAAGATGCAAGTAGGAGAGCAGATAGACTAATTAGTTTGACCTAATGTCACTAAATAAAGCCCACTCACATTAAACATGTGCATAACTATCTTTGAAGTCATCAGGGAAATACACGGGTTCACAGTACATTTAAGCACTGATAGATGGGTACCTTATACAGACACTTAGCAGCAGCCAATATGCTCCAAAGCAACCAAAATTAAAGCTAACACACTCAAAAATTGAGATCCATAGCACAGTTTGTTGTTAAAGTTTTACAGTAAGCAAACCATGTTTTGTGTCTTTAAAACGTAATGCTTATTAATATATTTTAACAAAAATAACGGTTTTAGTGATATATAAAAATTGTCTAACCCAGGAGGTACGAAAAATAAAATGAACAAATAATTATATTCATTAGGTTAATTATTGTTCTTTTGAAATTTCATCAACCGGATATGAAACTCCTATGCTTTCCTTCCTATATTAGCACTCGTTTTATTTGTCAGTCAGCAGTTTTCTGTAAGAATCACCCACAGTAAGAAGTTTTATTCAGAAGAACTCCTAAGGTCAGTAACAGTTTGATGAAGACAGAATATTCTCAACATGTTCTTAGCGTGACACTTTATGAGAAGACATCTCCAGACACTACTAGTTCCAAGCCTACAAACAAGAAGAATCCACTCCTTCTTAGCAATTACTTTTCAAGTTTTCTTAAAAGCTCACAGAGGAAAAGAAAACATAGCACTTATACATTGTACCAATGAGGAGTAACAGGAAAAGCAGTATAATTTGAATGAGGAAACTTTTTTCTCAAATATTGTATTTTCACAGCAAAATGGACATAAGTGAATGCCAAAATATACCCAAAAGCAGACAAGAGTGTTCTAATGATGTTTTTAATGAAGAATATACTTCCACTATAAACACAGGAAAAATAAAGCAAAGAGAAACAAAATATGACAGGAGACTATTAGACTGCTGTGAAAAACTCAAATTTCTGAAAACCCTATTCAAAACTAAAAATAATAGCAGTTCTTGAACACTAACAGCAGTAACATAAAACCCATGTGACATATACATGGCTCCTTTAACATGCAGTGTAGAGAAAGCAGTTTGCTTCCCAAGTCACTAGTAACAGCTCAACTTTAAGCATATTAGGTGAAGCTTCTTGACTTTAAACAGAGCAAGACTAGAAATAAGTTTTAAACAAGCAGGTCTGTCAGGTCACTGCAGAATGAAATAAAAGCAATTTAAAAGTGGTTTTCCAGTAAACAGCAAAACCTTCAGCACTGGTGTCAAATGAAAGAAAAGGGCTACAGAGACTTCACTGTGCTAAGCTGATTTAGACAACCACCCAAATACTTTCCCTGTCCAGCTTTCAAAGACATACAAATACTGGGAAAAAGGACTGTGCCATACTGCATTTTGTACTTCAGGCATGTCTGGAAATATCCTGAGCACTTCATATCAACCAGTTCTTATGAAACCTAATGTACAGTAGACTCAATGCCACTGACACAAAAAACCTATACAATTACCAAAACCCTCGACTTTCCCTAAAAAAAAAAAAAGTCATTTTACCAATATCAAAAGCATGATGACCAGCTTTAGTTAGCATCATTTAATCACAAGGACCTTCTCAATTAAGAGAGATTTTAAAATATAACTTTCAAGTGAGAAAAGTTTCATCTTCTGTTGTTTCCGTTGTCTAAGCCAAGCACTTCCAAGCCTGGGTGCTCTACAAGATTAAAGGAAAATGTGCATATAATCACAGAATGGTTTGGGTTGGAAGGGACCTTAAACATGATCTGGTTCCAACCCTTCTGTCATGGGCAGGGATGCTACTCACCAGACCAGGTTGCTCAAAGCCCCATCCAACCTGGCCTTGAACACTTCCAGGGCTAAGCCATTCACAACTTTTCCAGGCAACCTGTTCCAGCATCTCACCACCATCACAATGAAGAATTCCCTCATAACATCAAATCTAAACCTCCCCTCTTTCAGTTTAAAACTAATTTTACCATGTCTTATGTATATTTGTCCATGTAAAAAATTACTCTCCATGTTTTCTTCAAACTCCCTCCAGGTATTGAAAGACCATGAGGCCTCCCCAGAACCTTCTCTCTGCCAAGCTGAACTAGCCCAACTTTTTCAGCCTATTTTCATAGCAGTGGTGCAGATAATAATCAGGGAAGGGACTTGACAGGCAGCAGCTCGCTATCAAGATTATCTACTACTATATAGCCTTCTACTATCACCATGGAAGGAAAGATAGTAATTTTGGAAATAATTATTTTTCAAATTATGCTTGCTTTTATTGGTATGAAATTGTCATTAACAACTCATGTACACCTGCAAGTTTGAGCATTAGAGTGTTTCTTAACCAGAGAACATTATTTAGCTTGCTCTGATCAATGAATCTAAGGAGAAGAAACCCACATCCCAACGAGTTTTGAGACAACACTCGATAACAAAAAGGATGTGACACTCACATGCAAAATAAGGTTTTCATTAAGTGGCAGTGATATGTTCCTATAGAGACACTCTCAATTGTTTCAAAATGTATCTGCCAGCTCACAGAGAGAATTCAGAGGAAGCAGGGAAGCTTTCAAGACAGCTCATGCACTTTTGGGAGCTTAAATTCCACTTTTAGGAAAGATGTCTTAGGTTTCTTAAGTCCTTTCAGAAAGCAAGGGTTAAAGTAGCAGGATAATTCAGGAAAACCTTTATACCTTTGGAATGACATGACAATAAGATGCATTTGAAGTATAAGTCATAGATATTAAGAACACATAACCCTTAGATCTTCAAATTTTCAGATCATGCAACAAGTAACCTTGTTTTCATATAGATAAGCACCTTTTAACATAAATATTCATAATACTGTATCTTCCAAAAAACTACATAATCAAACCTTTCTGAAGAATTCTGTAAAACCCCAGTCTCAGCTTACACACTTTAAAAAACAAATATAAATAACATCATATTACCTTCTAAACAAGACACCAGTTCCTAAAATGTGCAATTTTAGATACTTCAGGCACAGCTGTGAAAGGTATCCAATGTACTAATACCTCCTTCACATTTTCTTGACATCCAAAATTTTATGACTAAAAATATTCTTAGTCTTTAAGACTTACTGTAAGTTAGCTATAATCCATTTTATAAAGACTAAAATATCCTTCAGTTTTTATTTTCTGTCTAGATAAAGGGAATTTATCAGATTACAGAACAAAGAGCTTTTTTACATCACTCTTCAACACAGACTTTAAACAGCAAATCAGAGGATAAAGTTTTGAACAAGTCTATCATGCTATAAATACATAGATATGCCTTGTTATCTTAGGTCCTCCCTATTTAGTGACCCAAAATTCTTCTTAAGGATTGAAGAGGCTCTGCAGATCTGTTATCACTATTTTTGGTGCTGAGAAAGACTTTAAAAGCCATTAATCCACACAAAAAGTGATTTTTAACTATAGCACTGAAAAGCTCTATGACCTCTGAGAAATTTCAGTACCAAGGAAACACAAGTCTTTACCTCTCAAGTTTGAATATCACCAAAACATATGATGCAATCAGATGTCAAAACTGTATCTGACATTTCAACTCCTTTAAAGTTTATATCTGCAGCAGTAAGCTTCCTAAAACACTAAAAGTTCATACTTTGCAGCTGCTATCTACACAAACAGCCAAATAAACTATTTGGAACCACCACTTCATTTTTGTGGATTAGTACTTCTGTCACACCATTAAACCTCTTATCTCCCTCTACCAAACAGAAATAGGGCCAGGGAACAGTACTGCATTTCAAAGGGTGGAAGATGCTCTAAGATTCTTCTCACTTTCACAGTCATTAAAGCAAATAAAACATTCACCAAATTAGTTTTGCTTACAGTTTATGAGGTATTCTTACACAGTGAATTTCAAGAAATCAAAGCAAGTTTCGTGCACACACACCTAGCAACAGTCTAAATCTTTTAAAAAATGCAATATCATATAAATAAGAACTCACCTGTGTTGTTTTACCAGACCCAGTCTCTCCGACCAGCACAAATGACTGATGCCTAATCAAAATATCTGTGAATCTTTCTTTATATTCCCACACAGGAAGTTGTAGCCTTTTTTTCAGGATGTCATAATATCGTGGTGTATGTGGTAGATTTGTGAAAGGGTTAATACTGTGTGGAATCATTGCTGGTTTTATAGCTGGTAACCCAGCAGCCCCATAATATGTAGAGTTGGATGTAGGTCGAAGATCCTTTTCCTTGTCCCTTTCTCTGTCACGATCTCTATCTCTGTCACGATCCCTGTCGCGATCTTTGGACCGGTCATCACGGTCCCTGTCCCGGTCCCGATCTTTCCTGAAATGAGTTAAGAGACACAGCAGAAAATGAGACACGTGAATATTTAAATGCAGAGGAGGAATTTAAATACAACACAACTCTAAAGGTATCCAGTACAAAGTGGATACAAATCAAATCTTTTAAAAAGCCTTGCAGGTAGCTACCCAGAACAACAAGCACCAAAGAGTAACAACAGTATGATGCACACTCAACACAAGATATATACAGATATACATTAGACATACTCATTGTACCCAAACACTACCACAGTTCCTCTCATTACAGGCAAGAAGGAAGAAAGCCATCGCATGGAGAGAGGATCATTTTAACCCTCTTCATTTAATAACTATAAAGAATCAGCTGTGCATTCTAGACTTCCCAGTTCTTCCCATCCTTACTTGCTGCTGCAGAAAAATAAGATTACACTTCATAGTCTTTCTGCCTACCTACCCAAGGTATTATGCTCACCCACAAAAAATTAACTCAAGATAATAAGCAAGCCATGGAAGAGAAGCTTGATTTTAATATCCCACAATTACTTTGTAGCTTTTTTTTTTCTTTCAAGTCTTACAATACAATTCTGACTCAACCAACTTTGATATACAGGTTGTTGAGTCTGGAACTTAGACTTAAAATCAGCCACTACAGTTCATGGGATCAGATTCATTTAGATTGGAAATGACCCTCAAGATCACAGAGCCCAACTGTTACACTAACACTGCCAAGTTGTGTAGTATCTTCTCCACTATCACCTCCTACCACACATTTAAACAGCTTTTATGTATTCCTATTTGTTCCAAATATTAAGTAAAAGAAGTCACTGCACTTACAAAACAAAGACAGCATTATTTTCAATCTCTGGCCACAGTCTTAGTGAGAGTTTCTCATTTTGCAAGTCCATGTACTTGTTCTTGCACATAATCTCACTCTTCCTACAAACACACACTCACAAAAAAAATCCCTTGTTTGACCCAAAAAACTACAGCCACGTGCTTTAATAAAAATTCCTAATTTAAGACTTTGAAACAAGCCCTGCTTTACAAAATCATCCCATCACATTTTAAACTATCGTGAGTTAAAGGATTAGTGGCATCTTTGCCTGCAAAACTGAGGATGCCCTCAGCTTGGGCTCCTTTTGTGCACTAGCTGAAATCCTATCAAAAAGGCAAAACAACAAACTAAGTCAAACCAGCTTTATAGTAAGTGCACACATAAACATTTCCAGGAGTATGCAGAAAAAACCAAACCTCTCATCCTTTACCAACACTCAGGCATGCCTGAAAGTAGAGAGCTTGTCCAAAGAAAACTGTTGGCCAACACTCCTCTCCATGGCTTTTTTTGTTTAAAGTATGCAGTTGGCATTCAAATATAACTGTTGAAATAATACACAAATTCCTACCTACAGAGAAGATACAGTAACCAAGATTATATTAGTACTGATTCTATACATTTTAATTCAAAATGTGCTGTGCATTGGAAACAATAACCACTACTCTTTTTAAATGTAACGAATGCAGGTTTTATTTTTTTTCCTCAATACTTCAACATATTATGGCCACAGAAGCCATCAAAATACAATTTTTTTAAAGACCATTTCTTTTAACACAGACCCATTGAAAATAAAGGATTACAAAACACTCTGATTACTGTCCCTTAACTCACTTGCATATAGATTTTCCTGAAGTTCTGAACACTGAATTATCTAAAAATGAAGACCCTTTTAGAGCATTTGCTTGAATCTGAGATACCCTAGCTTCAACAGTATTCTAGCACACTCAAATATCATACAAGCCAGAATCTCTTCTCACTGTAAAATAGCAGGCAAATATTGCAGAACAATAGGTTCATACTCTCCCTACGAAAAAGTTACCACTGTTATAAAGTGATGGAACTAGGTTCCATTATGCTACTCTTAGTAACATGTATCACACAGGAACAAAGCTTGGGACTTGCAAGTGAGCTATTTACCATCAGATTTTCAAATGTCTGCAGGTACTGGGATAAACATATGCATGGTCAGACAGTAAGAAAAGTAAATAAAGGTATAAAAGCAATTAAGAACAGTGTAGTTAGGGTAAAATGCAACAACACACTTCTTTGAAGGTAGACTAAGACACATTACTTACAGTTTTTGATTTGGGTTTTTTTGCATGTGTGTTTCTGAAAGATTTTTATCCTTCACTGCTATCTAGTCAAAGTATAAAAAACCCCCACACCAACAAAAACCATTTACTTAGACAGTATGATGTCAAAAGCTCCTGCATTGCAGACCACCAAGTGCACCTTCAGATATGCTTCAGCCCCACATGAAGCAGCACTACTGCTAAAATGAACAGATCCACAATATTGCCAACCCTTCCCATGTGTTGGCTCAAGCATTTCACTGCCCTTGAGAACAACAAGCCCCTCCACCAGTGTCAATTCTAACTCGATCAGGTCTTGTAGCACTGTTATCTCCTGTACTGGTAGCTATTTCTATGGGCTTAAAACAAACAAAAATACAACCTCGAGAACAAGACAGTGGATTAAATGGACTACAAATACAATCCAGCATGGAATGTCCCATTAATCCCCCATTTCTCAGTTTCTTCACTGAACTCTTACAGCTATTTAATTGCTCAAACAGAAAGGGAACCTATCAAGCTCTATCTCCACTTCAGAAGTAAAAAACTAATTATGTGTTAATAAAGAGAATTGAGTCTTTTTCCTATTAAAAAAACAAAAGAGAAACAGGGGGAACCAGATCCCAGTATAGAAACAACACAACAAACAACATGCCTTCAAAATTACTCTCTAACACTCATTTTATAGCAACATTTTTTTCCCTAAAACTATTTCCCAGTCTCCCATTATTACTGAAACTTAGCAGACACAGACTCCCTTGGTCAACAAGAGAAAAGAGGAATGACAGTTGTGATGCCATATGAATTCCCTAAAATTTATAAAAATATAACTTGGCAGTTTTTAATTTATAAACTGCCACATTTTAGTTACTTCTCATTATTGCACAGGGAAAACTGAACTCCAACACGGAAACTAACAGTAAAATAATTATAATTTAAACATTTGAGTTGTGCCTGAATGCCATAACAGCCTCCAGACTCAGAAAGCGGCTGGGGTTTTTTGCTCTGCTTTTAAGTGAAAAAGTCTGGTCTGCTATCTGCCTTTATTTCCTTCCATTCACTCATATATAATATATGCACACATGAATACAAAAGAAACACTGTAGCAGTCACTAAATCAGAGGATAAAAAGCATATAAAAACTAAAAATGGAAACAAAGGGCTCAAGGTAAACAACTGATCATCACAGTGAAAGTCTAAACACATCTAACAGAGCATCAGTGTTATCTCTCCATTACTAAACTCGGCAACAGTTGACGCAAAAAGGTAATGCAGCTAAAGGAGAGTTTCTGTTCCATACATTAAAAAATCAAAGTACAATTAGTCTGAACGATACATCCCACTAAATAACTCTGCTGTTACACAAGAACTGAAGTATATTTGCAAAAAAATTAGCATATTTTAAAATAGTATGTATGTAATTCACACACTGTAACCAAAAATCTTCTGTATAATTTCCATTTTTCCAAGAAATTTTTTACTTCACAGATGGTACTTCAAGTCCAAAGAAACCAGATGTCGTAGGATGCTTAAGGTTACACCAACAATTACAAACCTGTTGGCCTGGCACTGCTGCCATATAGAGCCACACAGCAATAGAGTCGTTCATTAAAAAGGGACTAAAACAATAGAGACTACCTTGATACAACCTTTATATTTAATCACATGGTCCAGTTTCAATGCAAGATAAACTACTATTCTGAATGTGAAGTGGTAACCATACAAGGAGCTAATTCAGTTTAGCCCAGCTCCAAAACCACCTAAATTACATGAAGGCACTCTCCACACAGAGGAGGACATGTACACACACGCTGTTAACAAGGCCCTGTGCATCGTCCTTACAGGTCTGCACAAGCTGCAAAACCAAACTACCCTAAAATAAACCAACCATGTAACTTTAGTATGCCTCGTGCTACGTGAATTAAGATTTCAAGCACTGTAAGAAATAATCATGGTCAGTAATTATGCTCATAGTGAGTTGTACTCAGTCCTATGCCATTTAATGCTTTTAGTGGCAGAGGAGGAGAGGACAAAGAAGGGGCACAGGACCAGCACTTCTACAAGCTTTTAGGTGCCATAAAGGTCAAAGTTTTCTGGTTTAAAAATGCTACCACTAGTGGGAACTCATAGGATACACAACGTGGTAACACTAACAGTTCAGTACAACATCTGATAATCAGTAAAAACAATGATAAATAAAACCATACCAAAACTATAAAACCCACGAACACACAGACAAGGAAATACTGACCTATGGTTATCTTGACAACCAGACATAACAGTCGCACCACACTTAAAAATAATGCCCGGGTTTGACACAACCACTTGAAAATTTTACAAAAATCTCTACAAACAGAAAAGCTGCACATGCACAACTTTTCTGTAGACTCAGAGCAGCTATTTCAACCTCTGGCAAATCATACAAAATCGCATCAAAGAAGACAAATAGCTCACTCCACTTATTCTGAAATATATGATTATGGTGACCCTACGTACAGGAAACAGCCGATCAATAATAAATTTTGTTCAGCTGAGAAAAATGCATCCAACTCTACGGGCTAAGCCTACAAGCTCAGCTTAAAAAAATGAAAAGGCAAGTTTTGCAAAGACTGCTTATCAGTGAACATAAACTGCTACACCAGACTGCAAGCTTTCAGAACAAGCGCAAGTATTTTTCTTAGACAAATACTCTAGCCCAAAACAACACCGATGGACTCTAGTAATTGTTTAACTCTGCGAGGAATTCTGTGCTCCTTCAAGAAGGCCAAACTAGATAAACACTGTATATTTTTGTACTCCTTGAGACCTCAGAAATTTAAAGACCCGCCCCTGTTCCCTCCCCCTCCCGCCCAATTAGAGGATAAAAAAATATGCAGAGAAGGCTCTAAAGCAACTGTGAATAAAAGCACAGTACCAGTGCATTGTCTGTGTTCTTGCAATTTCATTGACCTTAACGAAAACGTGCTGAAGCGCGTCCAGTACAGTCCTAAAACTTTAACCTTCGCGAAACTAAGGAAGAAAAATCCCTCCCTTACCCCTATCGTAAAACCCACCTCACCACCGATTTTTACTTCAAGCCAAACACATCCCCGACGGTGACTGAGTGTAAGATGCTAACAAAGGAATACCGCTCCTACCAGGTCACACGGGCTGGACAAACCTCGTGCTCATCTCTAGGCCCAAGTTTGCCAGGCCTCTCAAGGCAAAGAGGGGAAGAAGTAAACAAACATAAAAGGAAGGGGGGGGGCAACAGACACGTAAAGGCGGCGAAGCGCCGCAGACAAAGCCCGGCGCGGGGGCGCGGGACCCACATCGCGCCGCCCCCGCCGCGGGCGCCTGGCCCGGCCCAGCCCAGCCCACCCGCCCAGGCGGCCGGGCCCGCGCCCGCTTCCCTTCCCCCGCCTGGCACCGCCGCACACGAGGCCCTCCCGCCGCTCCCCGCCACCATCCGCCCCCCCCGCGGGCCCGGACGATGCCAGGCCGCGGCCCGGCGCTCGGGAGCCGCGGCGCTAGGGGCCCGCCCGCACGGGGGCCTCTCCCCGCCCCGCACAGCGGCCGTCCTGCGCCCGGGAAGCCCCAGCGCGGAGGGGCGGCCAGAGTCGGGGATGGGGCGCGGATGACGAGTGGGCCGCCGCCATCCGCCCCCACCGGCCCTCCCCCCGCGCGGCCGCGCCCGCCCCTCACCGTCGGTGGTGCGTTTTTCTTGCTGGAGCTGTAGTCGTCCCCCAGGTCGAGGCGGTGGCGCTTGGACATGGCGGCGGTCGGCGTGGTCGGTCCGGGCGCTCCGCGGTCCCTCCCCGAGCGGCGGCGGCGAGGCACGGCCGACAAAATGGCGCCGGAAGGAAGCGCCGTGGCCGCGCGAGACGGTGGCGCGCGCGCGGAGGGGCCTGTTGGCGAAAGCCTCCCGCCGCGGCGCGCGCCCGACGGCACCGTCCCCGCCCCCGCCCGCGCGCTCCCGCAGCGGCGCGAGGACACCCCGCTGGTTTCCTGGGAAAGGCCCCGTCGCAGGATCGTAGGGTCATAGCATCGGCGAGGTGGGAAGAGACCTTTAAGCTCAGTCCAACCATCAACGCAGCACTACCACCGTAACCCCTAAACCACTAAGCCATATCACCAGCGCCAGATCCACACACCTCTTGAACACCTCCAGGATGGTGACTCCACCAGCTGCCTGGGCCACCTATTCCAATGCCTGACTACCCTAACAGTAAAAAATTTTCTTGTATCTAATCTGAGTCTCCCCTGTCTTAAGGCCATTTCCTCTGGTCCTCTCACTGCAGGCACACTTGGTAGGACCGGCCCTGACTTCACCACAGCCTCCTTTTCAGGTGACTGTAGAGAGCGATGAGGTCACCCTCGAGCTTCCCCTTCCTCAGACTACACAAACCCAGCTCCCTCAGCCGTTCCTCATGAGACACGTTTTCCAGAACTGTGACGAACCTTATGCCCTTCGCTGGACATGCTCCAGCACCTCAATGTCCTTTTTAAAGCAAGGGACCCAAAACTGAATGTAGTACTGGAGATGCAGCCTCACCAATGCTGGGTACAGAGGGAAAACAGCCTCTCCACAGCCCATCCTGAGTGGAGGACGGGAATTTCCACAGAGGGGGGTTGAGCCAGGATAACTCCTGAAAAACCTCTGTTCTAGGCCATTAGAGACTTCCCTGGCAACGCTCGCCTTGTGTGCAGAAAAAAAGGCAACCTTTTACAAGTCAGCTGTGGCAAAAGCAGTGCTAGAAAACCAGGCACATTAAAGCTACACACTGTAGAAGCACATACAGCCTTTACCCAAATGTCAACAAGAAGTGTTCATGGCAGTGTATTTCAGGATGAGAAAATTTAGCTGTCTCTCAAAGACCCAGAAACACACTTACCGATGTTTACCATTTCAGCACAAGGGAAGCCTGAGTTCATAAATAACACAAACTCCAGCAGATTTGTTCAGTCCTACTGCATCCCAGTCTTCTCAGCGTGAGCATGGCTACAATAGCATTTAGTAATACAGTTCCTGAAGTGAAACAAGACACGAGTTCAAGCGCCATTTCCTCATGGCAGTTAGGTTCTGCTTGAATAGTTACAGCAGTAATTAGTTACTTTTCACACTTCCAACCAGCTTTAACTGCCAGCAGAAGTCTGCAAGCTTAAGTGTGGTCCAGAAGAGTTGGTCCTTAGGGTTGTTTCTTGTGCCCCAGAGCTGTTCCCCATCTCCTGCCACTCCCGGCACCTTTTAAGAATTGGGTTAACCATCCACACAAGAAGCATTTGTCCTGTGACTGAAGGCACAGATGCGCCTGGGCAGGAGAAGATGAAGTCAGGCAGATAATGAGATGCTTCTAATGGCCATGCCTTCAGGTCAGAAGCACACTTAGTGCTCACTGAGCAACTTCTGCTCCCACACAATTTCATTCAGACATTTCTGCTCCCTCTAAGTGTCAGCAGCTGCCTCGCTTTCCAGTGCAGTCACTTGATACTTCAGCACAGCTCATAAAACCAATCTCTAAGAGCTTCCAGAAAAGCAAGAGGCACTGTTCTTGATACTTCTGACAGCTATTTTGAGAATATCAGCCACTGGACATTCCGTTCTCTATTCCTATCCTCTCCATTCCCAGTCTATGTCATGGTCCTTCAGCACCCCTCTAGCGATTTAAATTCATACCATAGACAAGTAATTTTAAGATAGAAATTAAAAGCACTACCATCATATTGGTAACTTTCTTCAACTAGGTGCATTCATTGAAAAACATATACATTGCAAGCCTTGCTCCCTGTCCCTCTTCACAATCCTTCTGCCAGAGATTACCACAAACTTTGCTCAGCTACTTGAATGAGTGCTCACTCCTGCTATCTGACTGTCAGAGCAAGGGTGCATTCACATAAATGGCTCAGTTAACTAGCATGAAAGTGGTCAGGAAGGATCATCTAGTAACAGTGACCTGTTCCACAAGTACAGCCAGCTCAGCAAGTGGGTGTTTGTCCATAGCTTCATGTTCCAAAGATTTGATGGAATTGAGTATAAGTCCTAAAATATTTCATGTAGGCAAGTCTGTAGATTATGTTCTTCAATAGAAGAACATTTTTGCCCCTAATTTTGGATAATATAACAAAATGGCACCCACAGCTCCACTGGAGTTCTAGACACTAGTATAATAAAAATAACATTTTTCTGCTTAGAGGTATCAACCAAAATAAATATTCCTGGAAACTGGATTTCGAGGTTTTCTTGTGAAGCTGGAAGTAGTTTTTCAATTTATATTACAAAAACCACTGGAATATCTATGTCAGAGATTTCCAGAGAATAAGTGTTACAGAGTGACTATCTCTATCCCAAATATCAAGCTTCGTTTTTGTGATGCTGTGATAGTGTGCACAAACCTGTGTTGGCTGAATACAGCTGAGGGAAGACTTCCTAGACATCTTCCCAAGTGGATTTTAAATTATGTCTGTCTTAAAAGAAAGCAAATGATCACTGAAATAGAGTACTGGAGTAGCACACATTTAGGAGGGGAAAAAAAATACTGGCTATGTCTCCTTCGAAAGTAGGAAAATGGGGGAAGAAGATAAAAGCATTAGTTGGGATGAGAAGCTACTGCTGGGCTCTTTAGAGATGACCCAAGTGTCCAACAATGGGAGCTTGGTGAACTCTGCAGCTCTGTTACAGATCTTTCTTGCTCCTCCCTATGCAGAGCAGCATAAAGGTACTTATGGTCTTACTCTAGGTTACCTCATGGCCAACATCAGGCAAATTTCTGCTTTAGGAGGAAGGAAGAAAGGAGCAGGTGTCTCAGCTGGTATGAAATCTTAGGCTAGAGCTCAGCAACAAATGCAAAAAAGGAAGGAAGAAGATTTTATGCTAGTTGGGGTGAGCAGCTACTTGCACGCTATGCCCCAGACTGATATCCCACAAACCAGTTCAGTCTGTTAACAACTGTTAACTTTGCAAACTCTTGAACTCATCCTCCACCCAACCATGCTTTGAGCCATATGACTGCACAATATCTGATCTGGTCCCACCCCAAAGGGTTTACAATGTAAGACCTTCATCCTGCAAGCACACACATGCCTTATTTTACTAATGCAAGTAATCCTTTTAACTTCAAAGGGATTAACAAGGAAACAGTAGGAAAACTAAGCATGTATGTAAGTGTTCACAGAATCACAGCCTAAATATAAGATGAGGCAAGAGAAAAAAAGATTGGTAAGCACAAATTGACATAATGACAAAGTGATAAGCATTACGTCAAAAGCCTAAAGGATGAAAGGAATGTGTAAAATAGGGCATATTTAAGCATATTTTCTGCCTTTTCAAAGGCATTTGTTAAATAAGAGGTTTTTATTCCCCTCCCCAAGTCTTTTATATCCATCTATAAAAATGAAAATCTTAGGCTAAGGAAACACAAGACATTTGTATGAGCTGCTGTTTGACTATCTACTCTTCTACTCTCCATTTCTTACCCTAGTTTTAAATTCACTGGTATCAAAATCCTCTTAGCCAATTTCCGATGAATATTTCTTCACATTTGTTATGGGCATAATATTTAATATGCTATTTGAGTTGAAAGGAACGTTAACATTTAAAACTGAAACAATGGCTTAGGAGAATAGCATCATGTCTATTTTTTTTCCTGACTGTGCATTGCCTTCTCCCCTGAAGAATAAACATGGGTCTCAGGCAAGCTGTAGTTTAAAGACCCTGGAACTTCCACCCTGGATCGGGTGAGGTTTCTGACAGAGAAGCAGAGTGTCACAGTTTAGGTTATTATTGCCCAAGACTAATTGCTTCACGCCTTTTCTAGAGATTACCAAGTCTATAAAATGCATGAGACCTATCCAGTGTAGCATCTTAGTCAAAACACACCTTCTTCACGGGCTTAAGCTAAAACAGGGGATGTTTATGGTGAAGTGACACCATAAACCTTTGCTGCGATGGAAGCCATAATAATGAGCAGAGTGGTAAGACAGACAGATAGGAGAGGTTAAATCTGCTAAAGCTTATGTGTTAGAACACTAAAACCTCTGTAGTACATATTTTTTTATGGCTGGCTGGCTTGCAGTAGACCCTAAGCTACAGCCTATATATGCTCCCAATGCTATGGCCACACTTTTTCTGCCAATTTTTTTTTTGTAGTTTGTTTTTTAAAAACAAGTCTAACTCCTGTTTTGTATAAATCTACAAAACATTATATGAAAAATATCCTGCAAATGAATTTAAATATTAAAATTAAGCATTTATGATAATTATAACTGCAATCACTGTTTTAAAATTGTATATATGTATATAAAAATGGGTAATGCCCTTTGAGAATTATTCAGGAGCCTTAGGTGCAAATGCTTGTCATAGACAAGCTCTCATTCTATCCTTCCCCATCAACCCCATGTGAATAAATGGATATTATCCTCATGTTCTGTCATATCATCAGAGAAAGAATCCCTTAGACAAGAACCCACAATCAGAGCATGTAAAAATGTCAGACTTTCACATCTTTTAAATTTAAAAATATGAAGATGAATACATGAACTGATCTCAATTTCTTCAGTGAAGAAAAGAGACAGCTTCTCTGTAATTACAGAAGCTAAACTTTGCAACACTTCAAGTATATATAAATCAGCGCTTTAAATTGCTCTGGGAAGTACACTGTAGGAAGCCAGCATGGCAACAGCACTATTGCCATGACAGCAAACTTTATCAGCCATACAGACACCCATCTGAATTTTGTGAATGGTTATTAAATGTTATCCCTTACAGAACACACCAC